ATATATATATATATATAACACGAATAATCCCCCCCCCCTTCCTTCACTCAGTCCTCCCACCCACCCACCCTTATAATAAAACATTAAAAACTTTAACAATCTACGTTTGTCTGTCTCGGAGCAGCGTTTTAAATCTTGTTAATGTTATACCATTATCTTTAAGTTCTGTTGGCAGTTCATTCCAAATCTTTACTCCTGAGTAGCCGATACTTCTTTTCAGAAAATTAGTTTTAGGCTTTTTTATCGAAAAGTCACAATCGTTATTGCGTAAATTATAATTTTCATTATTTTTCACATTAAAGATATCAGTAACTGTTGTCAGGTATTTGCCATTTTTGGCTTTGTACATAAAAACTGCCTTATTCTCTCTCCAATTTTCTATCAGTGGCTGCCAGCCTCATTACAAGTGAATATCACACAATCACAAGAGACAACGACCACCGGTGATGGCACGCATACACAATAAAATATGTATATGTTGTTAAACGAACCAATATAGATGAGACGATTATATTTGGACTGGAGCAATTTTGAGGATGTGCAACATTTTAAATATTATAAAATAACAAATAATTCCCGAATAATAACAAATACAATCAATGGTATTTTCGCACATTTTCAATGGATGATCGCGGATGAAAGCAACGGGTTTATATGTTATTTCCTTTGTATTATGGCTGGTGGCATTTCACACGTATCGTAACGCTCATAGGGAGAATTTGAATCGATCTATATGAATCTGAATTGCGTACTTTTTACTATCAGAACTCATTAACCTGCTTGATAATTTGGGTTTTTTGTTGTCATGAAATAGTATACTGTAGGTCAGAAGTTGCGAGCTGTCTACCAACCTCTTTCCCAGGCTCTTCCCTCTTGTGGAGGAAAGACCCTGACTGGGACTGGTCACGTGGCACGCCGATTCTGCGTGCTAAAATAAAATGTGTCTATGGGTAGGGTGCAGGTAGAGGAGTGGTTTGTCGTGTTTTGAAAATTGCAACTTATGTGTTCTAGTTTCTGGTGATAAAAATGTAATTTGGAACAAGAAATCGTGAGATAAACTGTTTATTAAAAATTCTATTTATCATGACACGACTTCCTGCCATATCAATGTCATCAATAATGAGTGTTGAGTTGAGTTGAATCATATTTCAATTGCAAGGAAAGATTGCGAAGTTGAGCACGCGGCCACGCTTCATCGTAGAAGCTACTTTGATATCTTCCACACCGACCGACCGATCAAACGAACAATCTGGTTGTTAAATTGAAGTGTATCCTGTCCGATATTCAAACGGATCTTTTTATTACGTGATCTTTTGGTTTCCGAAACATCGCCAACTGTTTGTGAACGATGCTACTGTATTTTTGACTTGTGAAAGTACAGGATTAAAACCCGCGTTCTTATGGACTATAAAATTCCTTGCATTGACATTGCTGAAGCTCAACGACAACGAGCAAGAATTATTTCGAAGTATAGCTATCTGTTTCCACCAGTGAACTCGGCTGTTGGTTATTTTATGAACGCCATTCGTTTACGCCAAGACTTCTCCATGCGTGCCGTATGCGGTACAACCAGTGGCGTAGCTGGCCCGACAATTTAGTCCCGCTATGCAAATTCAAAATTATTATCATTATTAATTTCTTTAGAAATTGATTGTTTTCACAGTCAATGAACACGAAAATATTTGCATAGCAGGACTAAATCGTCGGGCTGGCTACGCTACTGGGTACAACTTGAATATTTAATACGATACATATATTATAAACATCAGATACAAGTATTTTATTTTATAGTATATCATATCATGTTTACGTTCAGCAATCTCAGCAGGCACATTAGTGATTATAAATCTTTATTGGCATTGCCATTGGCCTTTTATAGCAGAATAATCCAGCTTCTTTCGACCTGTATCATGCTGCTGTGTTAAAGTGCTACTGCAGCGAATTTTTCGAACCTCATTTTTTAGCTTAATTAAAAGTGCTTTCCTTCCTGATCTGTTTACCACAAAAAGTATTGAAATTGGTGAATTCAAACCGATTTTATAGCCTTCCAAAGTGGCCATTTTTGGCACTTCCTGTGCAAACTTTTGATCGGCAATGTTGATGCCATGTGACGTCATAAGATAAACATGATTTCATCATGGCGTATTAAAATTATAGTAAAACCAACAAACGCGGAGACGAAGGCCGTGTTTCTGGCAGTTCTGACTTAGATTATTGCACGAACTCTGAACAGCCAGAAGGAATACCCATGCGTCTATTTTCCAACAAAGAAACAGATCCACAGAGTGAAAGAAAGTTAGCGAATTTTATCCGTAAACATTGAACCTAGTGTTTTGCGAACCTAGTGTTTTGATTGAGCCCGTTTTGAAGAGTCGTGCTATATTTTATTTTCATTTACAAAACCTCGTAAAATGGAAAGAAAACTGAAGGAAGAAACTGTTTATACAATTTACATGGCTAGAATTGTTGCCCTGGCTAAAGTACAACTAACAGACGCAAGGCAAATAATTCAGGTATACAGTGAAGTACAAACTAATATGTTCGCACACATGCTGAATATTTTGCGCAAATGATGCTATATAGTTAGTCTAAAGTGTTTAACATTTCTTATGTTTTAGATCATTTGTGGTTGTAAAAAGAGTATCTCCTGTTAAGTTAGTTTCTTGTCCAGAGCATCTTGAGATTGAAATAAAGACAACAATTCAGCATGCCTGACCTAGTTTCGTCAAGACGTCTGATGACATTTTGAGAGAAACGATGCCATTGGAGTTATATTCAGTCATATCAATATTACATATTGCATAGTATAAAGTAACAATAAATATAATAATACTATAGTATTTAAAGTTTGTTCGTTCACTGCAACCAGGTACCTATATTTACAGAAACAGCTTTACTAAAAGTCCAGAATGACATTCTCCTCAGTATGGATCGCCAGGAGGTTACGCTTCGTGCCTGGATGCTTACTAACCGTCTGTTGATAAATGAAAGACTGAATTTATTATCATCGGTTCAAAGCAGCAAATGTCAACGATTTTAAACATCAATGAAATTACAGTTGGTGAATCTACGATCGAGCCTAAGCCTCGGAATGTGGTTTGACTCGCATATGTCGATGGATATTCGCTTTGGAAAGGTGTGTAGTAAGGCGTTTCGCAGCCTCTATAATATCCGACAAATAGAGAAATTTCTTTCAGAAGATACAACAATGATTTTGGATCATGCTCTTGTTACTTCACATCTGGACTATTGTAACTCATTGTTTTATGGTCTCGCACAGTCTCGATATGATAGGTTATACAAAGAGTTCTTAATGCCGCAATACGTGTGGTCTGTCTAATCCCCAAATTTGATAATATTACTCCCGTTTTGATTGGCCTTCATTGGCTTCCTATCATACTGTATCGGGTGATTTTCAAGATTTTTTTGCTGGTGTACAAGGCTCTTCATGACACCTAAACATATTGGTTGCTACAGCCTGCGCTCGAATGAGCAAAATTTGCTAATAGTTTCTATTGACAATAGGAAAACGTTTGGTGACAGAGCTTTTGCCAAAGCTGGTCCTCTTTTGTGGAATGAACTTCCCGCTGACATCCGTGGAGCGTCAACAGTGGAAACACTTAAAAGCAGACTTAAGACCTTTCTTTTTAAAAGGCATTTTATCTTTAAATATAATAATAAATTTTATCTGTGTAATTTAGAATATTTATAGTGTTTAGCGCTTTATAAATTAATAAATTGTTATTATTATTATATTATTATATTATTATAAAGCAGTAACACTGTGCTCGTGTTTTCTATTCAGTGTTAATTATTGCTTAAAATTTATAAGCATATTTCCCAACGCTTTCACTATATAAAGGATAGCTCAACTTTGCTGCTTTATATATAAAAGCCATTAATTTAAGATAGCTGTCACAAAATGGGAACATGCACAGTCTTTGATCATTTGAGATGAGAAACATGGTAATTCCAATGTTTCTAGATGAAATCATGCAACGCTACTTCATGGTGCTATTATTTAGAAAACTCTCATTGAACTACAAATTAAAATGTGTTGATCTACGGTAATTACAGTTCTTCAATTTTGTTTATCATTATGTTGTGTCAAATTTATCTTTTGAATCTATATTTATTTATTTATTATCTGCCCTATGTTACAAATTAAAGATAGTATGATGTAATATTAACACTTTAAAAAGTCAGGTCTAGAGATCTTATTATAATGTAACAGGAAAACCTCAAAAACTGAGCGGGTAGCTGGCGATTTTGAATCTATCATGTGATGTAAACTTAAACGAATTAGTCTAGGTAAACGGGTGGTGGCTGAATAAACTGTCAAACTAGTACTACTCAAATAGTCAAAGTATTCAACAGAGACGAATATATTATTGCTGCAGTTGTTAGATCATTAATAATTAGGAAAAGACAAAGTAAATCACTGCCGTTTCGGTGGTTTTATACCTGATGAAAAATAGGCACGCTAGGCGTACATGCATCTGCGCAAAATTTTTACAGTTTGTGATCATTGTTGTTGTAGTTGTTGAAGTTATTATTAACGGAGTGATTGTTGGACAGGTGTGTCTATGACACATGACGCACGGCATTATTACAGAGTAATAGTAACATATGGAGGTTGCACTCGGCCAAAAACCATAATTAACCAGCCAGCATGTTCCGTAGCCAGTGTGCTAACAACCTCGTACCCAGGGCTTCTGCGCTTATTGCTCTCAGAAGCCCTGGGATAATCCAAACCGGAACACCATAGAACAGTGGTGCCCCCGGAAGCGGAAGTAAACAGTAGCTCCAGCTAAAAACGCTGACTGGGCATATTTTACGCAAGGAGTGAGAATGGATTATTTGTTGCAATTTATGATATATTTGGACTTGTAAAGACGTCTTAAACTGCTTCTCGCGTGGCTTTTGGAATTTAAAGTCAGGAATGATCAATTTAGAGATACAATTATGCGTACAATTAGCCCTTTGGCGAGCAAAAGAACATCTTATATCGCGACAACAGCATACCTTGTCAGCGATATACAGGGGCTATTCAATAATTAAAGTATAAATATTTATATTCGAGTACAACCTTGGTTATTTCAAAATTAACAGACTAGAAATCTTACTGGTAACATGGCTGGCTGCCGATTATCTTGGATTTGAGGGTTTGAACAAGATATTGCAAGATTTAATTATAAATGCACAAGATATACTGTACTGTAAACATGCATCTACTTGAAGAATGTAAAATGAACAGTGATGAGTGATGTAATATAATTCTGCACTTTAATATTTGGAAAACCTTTTTGGCAAATCTTGAGAATAATGGCTTTGGGAATCAATGTTGAAAATTAAAAACTGTCAGATAGCCGCATGGACAGCATGGTTAGAAGCATACATGTCATCAGATGAAACTCCAACTTTTGTTAATTGCTGATGTTCTAGTATTGGAATGAACAGTGTTATAAGAACCAATGGTGCTGAACTATTTTGGGTTTATTATAAAATATTGTTTATCATTTAGTTCTGGCCATTAACCTTACCTATTAAGTTACACATTGTGTCTTACTTTTTATTTTACTCTGGTGTGCACCCCCCCCCCCCAGGCTCTGGTCAACAGGGGTGCATGTGGGGGGGGGTGCAAAAATGATGTTTATCCCAATTCTAACCAACTTATGTTAAGGAATTCAGTTGGGTATCACTAGTTGACAATAGTGGAATAGCCAATATTAAATATTCTGAATTTTTTAAATGTTT